CCACAGTTTAATCACTTTACCTTCCGAATTTGCCATCTCTTAACTACAAAAATGCTGGGGAGGAAACTCGGAAGTGGAGATAGTATTGTCTCCAAAGCCATAATAAAAGAAGATGAACTGCATGGTCATTTTAAATATTACATGATAGTTCAGCATGAAATATGGGATTTGGTTGATTCTTTTTTGTTGTTGCTGTTTGGTGTTTTTATTTGTCTTCACCCATGAAGTTTCTCATCCGAGGGCTTTTAAAGGAACACTACCTGCCAATGGATGGAAACGGAGAGCAAAGCGTTGGCCTTACTTTATAAGATCAAGGATGGAAATCCAAATACCAATAAAAAAAAAACTTTAACGATGTTTTTGGCCAAAATGAAGCTATTTGTGACTCTCTCTCAATAATGCCAAATAATTCATGCTGTGAAAGAATAAATCCCACCACCTTCTTTGATAATATAAATACCAAACAATAAGATTATTGATTGCCTTTTACATGTTTCTAACTAGTTGCTTTAATTCCATGGAGATATACTCTGAATGCTCTATTCTGTGGTACAATTTTTAGAATCTGTTCAGTAAATATTAATTTTTAAAAATAAGGTATAAAAATTTTCCATGGCCAAGAAAAGATTTCCTTGTAATTCAAACAGTCATTGGCCAAAATAAAAACCTAATGCTATGCTGACAGGCATTGAAATATACAATGTTATTTATCCTTTTGATCTACTGGAAGTATGACTGAACTAAAAGTCAAAAGCTTTGAGTTATTATCCTGATTCTGCCCTTCAAAATGCATGGTGTTCAATAATGCCATTAAAAGAACATTTGTTAAAGCCTTTCTGATATGCTAGGTAAATATGCCCAGAGAAATGAAATAAGTAATCAGAGAATGTCTTCATTCTGTGATCAGTACTGTATTAGGGTTTTCCAGAGACACAGAACCAGTAGGATATGGAAATTTATGAAATTCGAAGAATCAACTCATGCAATTACAGAGGCCACAATCTGCCACGTGTAGACTGGAAACCCAGGAAGCCGGGGGTGTGATTCTAATCCAAATTCAAAAGCCTGACAACCAGGGGAGCCGGTTTCTCAGCCCAGAGACAGGAGAAAACAGATGTCATCAAGATAAAAGGGGTTAATTCGTCGTTATCCTCCTCCTTTTGTTCTATCGAGGGCCTCAGCAGACAGGATGATGGCCACCCACACTGGGGGAGGGCTGTCTGCTTTACTGAGTCTGGTGATTCAAGTGCTAATCTCATCCAGAAACACTCTCAAAACACACCCAGAAATAAAGTACTCCTGATATCTAATCCCCTAATCCAGTCAATTTGACACAAAATTAACTATCTCAAATGTTGCCATTTAAAAGACTTCTGTATTAGTTTGCTGGGGCTTCCATAACAAAGTACCAGAAACTGGGTAGCTTTAACAACAGAAACGTATTATTTCACAGTTCTGAAGGATAGAAGTCTGAGATCAAGATGTCAGCAGAGATAATGCCTTCTGAGGGCTGTGAGATGTTAGAGAGGAAACCTCAGGCCCAAAGTTGAGTCACTTGTGCTAAAGCCCATGATATCAAACCTAGATTTAATATCTGATCTACTTGCTGTTTCCTCCTATTCCAGAAATATAATCTTAATCAGCCAGTCTGGGATTTTCTGGTCAATACCAAGGAGGTCATCTGTCACATGGGCCCTCTCTATGCCCCATTGGAAGAAAAGGCATGTTCTGCATGATAAAAGTTCTTGCAATTCCCTCCTCCCAAAAGATGTTCCGGCCTAAAAATAACCCTTTCTTTTTCTACTTTCCTTTTCTCTTCTCTCCTCTTCTCTCTTCTTCTCTTCTCTTCTCTTCCCTTCTCTTCTCTTCTCTTCTCTTCTCTTCTCTTCTCTTCTCTTCTCTTCTCTTCTCTTCTCTTCTCTTCTCTTCTCTTCTTTTGTACTAGCTCCCTTGCCCCACCCTTCTTCATATAAAAACCTTCCTTTCAAGTGGTTAGATGGGACACTGCCAGATTCATGAATCTTTTAATGAAACCAATTAGATCTTCAAATTTACTCAGTTGAATTTTGTTCTTTAACAGAGGAGAAGATCTGTCTAGGCCTCTCTCCTTAGCTTGCAGATGACAGTTTTCTCCCAGTGTCTCTTCATATCGTCTTCCCTCAGTGTGTGTCTTTTTATAAGGACATTGATCATATTGGATTAGAGGCCTATTCAACTCTAGCAAAACCTCATCTAAACTAATTATATCTGCAATAACCCTATTTCCAAATAATACCACCTTCTGAGGTGCTAGGGGATAGCAGTTCAACATATAATTTTGAGGGGACACAATGCAACCCACAACAACTTCCATTTCTCATCTATAAAGTCAAGACAACAGCATTTTGTAATATTTTAAAACTTGCTTTATTATTTTTTTTTTCAGTAAACATTATGCTTCTAGGTAACAGGCATCCAAAGTGGAATAAAGCACCTTCTGGAATACACAACCTACTCAGGTCTTTCATCTTTTGAGTCTCAGAACCAAGAATAGTGTTAGGCACAAAATATAGGCTATATTAATATTTGATGAATGGCAAAAGGAAAGGAAGAGAAGAAGGGAGGGTGGGAGGGAGGGAAGGAGGAAAGATTCTGCTCGTTACACATCTTCCTTAGTAACAAAAAAGCCATTGCTTGTCATTTCCTTAATTAGTCCAAGGCTTTGTATAGTCCAAAATCACTGATTCTAACAAATAGGAACATCTTAATTTAAATATTGAGATCAGATGCCTGGTGTGACTTTATCAGGGTGTGGACAAAATAGGGGCAACATACTAAACCTGACAAGTTCAGGAGAGGCCTGCATCATGGGCCTTACAAACTCAGAGACCAAAAGTAATCACATAGGATGGTCTGAACGTAAAAATTCTTAACTAAAAAAAAGTCATGGTGGGTAGTCATGTCCTAGGCCTGAAGTTTCCTTGACAAAGGTCAATCTTCATTTTAAGCGAACCTGTCTATTATCTTTTTATATCTAAGATAACATACCTTTGAAATGTCAGAGTAATCTTTTCCAGACCCCGCAAGGCACAACTGCCAGCACCAGAGCAGAGACCACAAAACCCCTCATTGTCATCTCGTTGCCCAAATACCATCTCTATGTGCTGTACCCACCAATGTAAAAGAAGTATGTGTTTATCGATTTTTCCTTCTTACCCAATCCCAGAGATTTCCCTGCTTTGCTTTCTCCTGTCCCCCTTGATCTACCACTAATGGATTTCATACAAACCTTCTTATTTCTCCTCCTTTTAGTCTGCTGTATAAAATAAGCTGTAAAATTGCCATTCTCTGGAGCATTTTCTCAATCCATTGAGATTTTGTTTCCTGGAAATTGTCATCGGTTTGGCTCAAATAAACTTATAAAAATTCTCTCTGTGTTTGGATGTTTCTTACATCAATAAAGGACAACATTTTGCTTTATCTTGGTTTGTTAGTCAGCCTAGGGCTAAGGGTCTCAGACTCTGCATGAGGATTCTAATATCATAATTTTGTGACCAAATCTCCAGACTCTTCTGCAGTTTGGTCTCTGACCCTGGTCAAGTGACAAGGTCATTTTGCAGTCTTAAATGCTGTCTGCCTGACGAACTGCTTTCGCTGCATTGTTCCTTTCACCACAAAACTTGTTTTACTAGTTTATTTTGCAGACTTCAAGAGAAACTGAGGTGTTTGCCCAGGTCTTGTGACTTCCTCCCACTTCTGCTGACCATAACTTATTACTTCGACTGCTGACCACATCCCATGACTCTACCTTCTGACATGAGTCAACTGAAACTGTTGTAGCCACCAAAAGACACATGGACCACCAGAAACCAGTGAGTTATAGTAAACACACTCTTTATTCAGCCAGCTGGGTCTGTCAGGGGTACGCAGACTCCAAATTAAGCAGCCCTGAAATGCAGAGGTACAAAGTTTTTAAGTTCTAAACCCCATTCCTCATTCTGTCTGAACACAAAGGTCTGTTTTTCTTCTATTCACTACTATCGACCCATAGGTCGCGTATGCAAGCAAGGAGTACAGAAGCAGAAAACTTGTTATTAGAATGTTATTGGAATGTTCCCATAATTAATAGCCTATGTTCCCATGGCAATGGCCAAACAGTAATTTCCTACAAGTAATAAATCTCAAACAGTAATTTCCAATCAAGTAGTAATTTCCAGCCAATACAAAACGACCCATTGTTCTTATCTCACAACCCCATTTGCTGACCACTGAGTCAGTTTACTCTTGAACGTCCAGTTGCCCTTATCAATCAGAAAATGAAAGATGTAGTTCACTGTCCTATTTTCCTAGAAACCCGTCCCTTTGACTCATACTTCAAAAACCCTTGCCTTATTTTTCCCATCGCAGAACACAAGGCTTCACTTTATGCTGAAGGCTATGTTCTCTGATTTGCAAATCATATCAGAATAAAACTCGTTTAATTCCTCAGAAGAGTCCAGTGGAAGTTTTGTTTATAAGCATTAGATGTGATCTCGGAGATCTAGTTCTATCTTGTTTTACAGTTAAGGGATCCTGTCCCAGAAGCACTGCCCACAGTCACAGAGCCGGTTTCCCTGATAAGTCAAGCCTAGAATGGCTTCTCTCTTCTTCCACTGTCTTTTCTATACTTGCTTCTTACACAATAACATAAACAGCTAATCCCTCCCTACCTATGAGAGTGGGAGAGAGCCGATGAATACTCCAAATACCAGACCCTTCAAGTGCTGCAAATCATTACACAGGCCTTACTGAAATGAACTGAGTATCACCTCGGAGTGAGAGCAGGACAAATGAAGGTCATCTATTATTATGCATGCACCCTTTGAGGGATGAGCCTGGGGTCACTGTGAAGTAACCTCAGCTATGAGGCTACTTGGTTGAGAGCTTAATCTCAGGGGCCAGAAAATACGTGGGCATGTTCATTCATGGCATTGATGGGCTTAGAGAGAACACTGTTCCCAAATTCCCATTCTGGACTGATGCTAATGCTCACTAGCAAGCCATTCTTCGTTGTTACCTATCTGGGACAATGAAGGCTGTGAAAATAATAACCACCACCACAACTGACATTCAATAACATTACCATGTGAAGGGCATTGTACTAAATGCTTGACATACATTAGCTTATTTAGTCCACGCAATACTGTGGCATAGGCACTGGTATTCTCCCCTATTTACAGATAGGAAAATTAGAGAAGTTAAGCACCCGTACAAGTTCCCACAGCTGAAAGAGCTAGAGCTTTGTCCAATCCAGGCAGACTTTAAAGGCTATACAAGATCAGCCAGGTGGCCTAGGGCAAGTCACTCAACCTCTCAAAACTTTAGTTTGTGATATCAACCAGGGATGATACTTACCTTGGAGCTGTGTCATGCAGATTAGACATCAACACGTAAAGTGCTTAGTATACAGTCTACCCAGCAACGAATTCTTTATACTAAGAAATGATGTTAATACCCTCTTCCTGTTCTCAAATACTATACAAAAATTCATGGGAGAAGTATATTCCTTCTAATGCCTCATGAGAATAAGGATGAAAGGAGAACTCAATAAGGACACTGGGAGGCCATGGGGTTATGGACACAGTAAAGGCCCCTGAGATCACTGTACTTATCACAGTTTAGTCCAAGTATGTCTGGCCAGAGGAAGACAGGCTGTTATCCATGTCATGAAACTAGACGGTATATTTATGGATTGAACAATGAAGAGTCTCATTTGGTCTATAAAAGGCATTATTCCTGCATGCCTTTGGAATTCCCAGTGAAAAACTGAGCTCACTTCTATAGTAAAACATTAGCCATTACATGGACCAGTTAGCTACAGTGTGCCAATGCCAGCATTTTGCACATATCCTCTCATCTCATCCTTACAACAACACCGGAAAGTAAGGATTATTTGGCCTCTTTCATAGAGGATGATACAAACGTAAGTCTGTTTAACTCATAAGCCCATAATCTTAAAACTGTACTTATTAGAAAAGACTGGTTGCAAGGGAGAAAAAATAAAAAGAGGAAACAGTATTATGAAAGTAGTATTTTGCAGGTTTCCTAAGTAATGAATCAGAATTGGAAATTAGAAAATTGTTCTCTCTCTCTCTCCATCTATTATCTCAGTTTTCTCTTTGTAAAACCTCTCTATCTTCTCAACGCTATTGTAGAATTAGCTACTCATGAAGACTCTTTTCGAGCTCCTGGAAGAAGAATCACGTTGGTCCATCTGGAGTCAGGGGTCTTCCAGTGTTCATACTGGTTGAGGACCAGTACAAACATGGCAAACAGGATCCACCTCTGTGAACTGCAGGGCATAGAGAAAGGGGATTGATGCGCAGGGTGGATAAACACTAGAAAGGTATCTTCCCAGCTTTACTACTTTCCTTAAGATGTTCGAGTAATTATTTCAGAAAATTCAAACCTAACATGATCTATATTAACATAAGCATTACTTGAGGAATGTGTAATAAAGATGTTAGCTACCTAAAGACATTGCTTTAGGCAGAGAAATTAGTAAACCTGGAATGTAGGGCAGTCAACTAAAGTGTACCAGGCCAGCTACTGGCCTTAAATATTTTCTAGTTTCTAAGGCAGTGCTATCTGATGGGGTGGGGGGAGGGGCAGGAAGCAAGACACATATGTAATTTTAAACATTTTAGTAGCCACATTTTTTAAAAAAGTGAAAAGAAAGAGGTAAAATATGTGTTAATAATATTTTTTATTTAACCCAACATCCAAAGTATTATAATTAGGAAAAATACAGTTAAAAAATAAATGAAGGAAGACAGCCTCCTAATAATATGCGGATCGCTCTACAAATGCGAGCACTTGAAGAATTAGCAGTGCCTTCTTCAAGCTAAGTGCCTAACTGCCTTTGACTCTGTTAACATCTCATTATCATTAATATCGCATTATGGTTTCAACATGTAAATATTATTAATGATCTATTTTACATGTTTTTGTACTATGGCTTTTCTTATTCTTTTTCTTAGTACTGTTTTGATTCGAAGAAGGAAGAGACAGCTCCATCTCCCTTTTCTTGGCATCCCAGTCTTCATCCCATTGATCCAGTGGCAGCCCCTTCTGCCTGGCCCTGCAACGGTGGTCCCGGCACTCAGGCTCGGCCCTAGGAAAGAGGAAGAGAACAGCTCTTGAAGAGCAAGAAGGAGAGCCTGTCCTGGCTTCAGAATAGGCCTCTCTTGCTTGCCTTCTGCATAGAGCCTGGGCGCCTCAGAGGTCCAATCAACAAAGGAGGCCAAATTCGATCAAGCCTTTCCAAGCTATGCAGAGGGAGGTCTCAGACAGTAAAGAAACTGCTTAGAGGTAGAGAAAAACAATGTGCTCAGAGTGAGATGTTAACAGAATCAAAGGCAGTCAGGCACTTAGCTTGAAGAAGGCACTGCTAATTCTTCAAGTGCTCACATTTGTAGAGTGACCAGCATATTATTAGGAGGCTGTTTTCTTTCATTTATTTTTTTAATTGTATTTTTTCTTAATTATAAAAGCCATGTCTGTTCATTGTAAAAATATTTAAAAGTACAGAAACATATAAGGGAGAAAATAGAAATTACTTATAATCATATATGTACTGTATGTATTGATGATTTGTGTAAAGAATAGTTACAGATGAGATAGATAGACAGACAGACAGATTATTGTACACACATGGACAATGGGAGGTGTACATATGTACCATTTTGTATAAGAGGCCAAAGGTGAATGTGTGACTTGCTGAAAGACATTGGCGAAAGCCACTTCACAGAAATAAAACTTTAGCCAATATGATGACAAATGGAATTTTAGAGGATAGATAATGGTACAGGTAGGGCAAACGGTATCTTAAGTGCAAAGCGTTATAAAAAGCACACTTTGTTCAGAGGATAGCAAACCTGCTTGTTCCTCAGCCCCCATTCTCCCAACAAGCTGGAAGTGACCTCTCAATAATCAAACCACATTCATTCAGTGTACCTCTCAACATTCAGTGTCCCTCTTCTGCCCTGCTATTATGACCCTTGGCACTTTCTGTCTTGTATTAGTTATTTGTGTAAACAAGTTGTCCAGAGAACTTCTTGGTGTCTCAGCACTGTGTCTGATTTCTCTTTAAATCCTTTCTAGCATTTAGTTCAGTGCCATGCACATAGTAGATTTCCAAAGTATTTGTTAAACTAGAGATGTATGACTTAGAGAGGCTGAACCAAAAGTTGATTTGTTCCGATAGGATCCCTAGGATATTCAGAAAATTGTCAAATACTGTCTAGGCTTATTTTGAAGCTCTCTCACTTCCTTCCTCTTCATCATCCTGGCCCGGGAGCTCACCTACTTGCAACATGAAGTGTTAAGAAATTTCTTAAGTGGTTTCCTCACCTATAGTCTTTAAGTGCCTCCAATCCTACCTGCACAGCACCGCTGCTGCCTCGTGCACTGCAGGCGTAACTTTGCTGAACTAGCTGTTTCAGCTTGTCAGTCTCCTGATGAGTCCACACTCATATGCTCGCCTAGCTCACTGTGGTCACCCGCTCATCCACCTGACCTTCTTCTCCACTTCTCTCCAGTGTGAATGCTCTGCTTAGCCAGGCCACTCCTTCCTCCACTATCCTTCCACCTCCTCACATATACGGTTTCCAACTGGTGCCTTCTCTTCCAATCAGCATCTTTCTCCTTCCTCCATTAGCCAGGTCTTAGCTATTTTTCAAGGTCCAAATTAATTTTCCCTCAACCAGAATTTCTCCCCTCTAACCCCGGTTACTCTCAGAAGGGAAGTTCCTTGTAGGGGACAATGCTGAGTAGAAATGACTTACACGTGATGCATTTTTTTTTTTTGTCTGCTCAGCATGGTCCGCCCACTTTCCCCCGCCCCCGCAGTGTGGCACTCCAGACTATTTGGAGGAAGCACTTCTCTCCAAATTCAGCTATGCGGGGGTGTGAATAATGCACATCCATTGACTGGTCACTAGGGAGGGGCTGAGATTACTCAGAGAAAGTCAGTGGAGGAGAATCAAAAACAGGACCCTGAGGAATTTCAGCATCTAAAAAGCATGTAAAAATAGGAGCTTGGACAAAATCATAAGAAATAGTTACGTAGGTAGAAGGAGAACGAAAAGAGAGTAACATGGAGCAAGAGAGAAGAGTTTCAAGATTATCAAATACCAAATTAGGTGGAGGTAAGATGTGAATTTAGACAAGGCCATTGATTTAGCAAGACTCTCTGTGGTAATTTGGATGAGAGCTGACTCTGTATAATGATAAATCTTGCACCATGTCCCATTTTTGAACTTGGTGCTCCATCTCTCTTACCTGACATAATTTTTATATAATCTAAAATAATAATTATAATAATTATATGTTATGTTTTTAAAATTATAATAATGCATAATTATAAAAATTATAATTTTTGTATGATTTAAAAACAATACATTTTACATAACTGAAACACTATAGTTTCCACCCTACACTAGTCATTTCAATGAAAAATTAATAAAACAACTCAAACGATAGTTAGCTGGACTTCCTCATTTCATTTTCATCGACCTGAGATCACTTAGTTGGCAAAGACCTTGATCACAGGCTCTTGTTTTGTAGTTGAGCCCCTTGTGATTTTAATGCCCCCTAGTATTTTTGGCCACTAGAATTAAATAATTTAATTGTTAATTAGGATGTAGGTATAGGCTTTAACTAAATGTTTCAGATGTCTTGGTTGTTAAGCAGCTTATGGTCAAAGATTAAGAAAGTATGTTAACTAGTCATGTTCTAAAGGACGGCCTTTGAAGCAAGTTCCAGGAGAAATATGTAAAAGTACACTTTGCTTGAGATAATAGAAAAGTATAGCTAGTTAAACGCAAAACAATGATATCTTAAACCATGGCGATGGTCGCAAGACCTCTAGTTTCTGCTTTTTTGCCTTAATGGTAACTGATACACATTTATGAGATACTTTGCAGAATCTTGGTTTTTCAACCCAGCACCCTTTATCCTCACAGTATAATTTTGTGTCGCTGATGCGCTGTTTCTTTGCCAAGCAGTTTGGAGAGATAACTTCATGGTCTTGAGGAGAATTTTTGAGTTTGTTCTGCAGAAGGAAAGCATGTTTTCAAGGTAGCTGCGACCAGCTGCTGATGCCCAGGAATCTTATATGAAAAAGCATCACCTGTGACTAAAGAAACACAGACTTCTCCCTCAGTTTCCTGGAACTTCCCCTGCCCCCAAACCCCATTCCCTAAAAACTCTCCACTTTTGCTTTTTAGGACAGATGAATTTGAGAGGTCTTGCTCTCCCATCCTCTCACTTTGGACAAACTGAATAAACCTTTCTCTATCTCCAAGCACCAGTATCTCAATGTTTTGGCTTACTAGCTCATAGGGCACATGAACCTTAATTTTGGGAGGTGATTCTACACTCATTTCTCCACCCTTTCTATAGCTAGACATGAAAGGAACTTACTTCTCCAGGAAAGCCACACAAGCTTTCTGCCCGTAGATCTGTGCAATCCTTTTTGGTGTGTCTCCGAAGAAGTCAGGGGCGTCAATGGCGGCGTGCAAAGCATGGAGAATTTTGAGCACATTCAGATGGCCTGACTCAGCTGCAAAATGAGCTGGGGTCCAGCCCACATCAGTTACCAAGCAGGGCCTGGCTCCGTATTCTATGAGGAGTTGCATCCCCTCCATATGACCTTAGAGGTACCGAGAAGAAACAGGAGGTTAATTGAGATTAAAATGTCTCCGCTGGCCAAAGGCCAGCGCTGGTCTAGGGAGCACACAAGAGGGGAAGACATTTGCCTTTGAGGCCCCTCCAGTTTCCTAACATCATCCCCTTCTCCCTTTTCCCTTTCCTTAATGAGAGACTCATTGCTCCACCTTTACCCTCATGAACGCTGTTCTCAACTCAGGGCCTGAGACCCTCTATTCTCTCTACTCCTTCCAGGACACACCCCTTGCTTGCCCATTCCTGCAGGCCCTGCCTGGAAATCTTGCTTTCTCTTGCAGGTCACTTATACACTTGCCTGTGCTGGCACTGGTAAGGCATTCTGCTTTTGGCATTCTCAATGTTGCTTTAACAAAATATATATTTTGTTACAACATGAATGAACCTCAAGGGCATTATGCTAAATCAGACAGACAGATACTGTATAAGCTCACTTATATGTGGAACCAAAAAAACAAAAAACAAAAATCAAGCTCATAGATACAGAGAACAGATTAGATAGATAGTTTTGGGCTGGGGGGAGTGGCAAAATGGGTGAAGGTGGTCAAAACGTACAAACTTCCAGGTGTAAAATAAGTAAGCCATGGGGGTATAATGTATAGCATGACAACTGTAATTAATAATATTGTATTGCATATTTGAAAGTTGTTAAGATAATAGATTTTTAAAGTTATCACAAGAAAAAAATTTTGTAACTATGGATGGTGATGGATGTTACTAAACTTATTGTGATAATTTCACAATATATACAAAAACCAATCATTATGTTGTGCCTGATACTGAGATAATGTTATATTTCAATTATATCTCAATAAAAGTAATTTAAGTCCCACTTACATTATAGCTAGCACAGGCTTTCTAGCCAGATAGATGGAGATTCATACCTGACAATAAATACCACTTGCTAACTATGACACCCCGATAAGAAACAGATGCCTGAGGTTCAGTTTCTTCATTTGTAAATTAAGGGTATCACCACTTATCTCAATGAGTTCTTGTGAAGTACAAATGATATAAAGTACATAGTATAGTACCTAGCATATAGCAAATGCTCACTAAAAGATTCTCTAGTATAGCTACTGTGACACTGTACCTAAATTTCTACAAAATGCTCTCAACTGATTGTTCTGAAGCAGTCTTGCTTCCTGCCGATCCATTCTCCATATAAGAGCCAAAACAAATTTTTAAAAAGCAAAGTTGGCTATAGCACTTTCTTACTTAACATTCTTCATTGGCGTTCTATTGGTAAAGACCTTGACAAGCCCATTGGCTGAGTGATTGCCACTATCCTTCTCCAATTCTATAACTGAGCAATGTTAGGCATGGGGACGTAACAAAGAAAAAGACAAAGTCTCTGTCCTGCTACAGGAATGATACTCCATTCCTGTTAGAAGTCAAGAGAGCAGAGACTAATATTAATTGAGAACAGGCTATGTGCTAGGAACTGTATATCCATTATCTTACTGAATCCTCACAATAACATTCCAAAGAAGCATTATCACTCCCATTATTTAGATGAATAAACTAAGGCCTAGAGGCATTAAATAACTTGCTTAAAGTGCTACAACTAGTAATTGGTGGTCCATGATTGAAATGTTCCATCTGGCTCCCAAGAAATGTTTTTTTCTACTACATACAGGCCGCTGTCATGAATGGTGGCCTCAAGGGGATAGATTCTACCTAGGCATTGCCCGCTCACCTTTGATTGCAGCCCAGTGAAGTGGGGTTCGGTCATTCCAGTCCACATCCTTATAGTTTGGGTCACAAAGACCTTTCTTCAAAATCTTTTTCACTAACTTGTAGTCCCCTGCAGCCACAGCTTGATGAAGCTTTGTCATGTCTGACATTTTGGTCAATTCCATGATGAAAAACAACTACGGGAAAAATAGGCCACTTAGGAAATTTTCTGCAGTTCTTTATTCCTAGTGAGTGATTCCATAAGATTTTTTGTCATGTGCTTTCTTTCTTACTTCAAAAATTTGCAATCAGGGTTGCTTCATTTGTGTGTTCTGCTGAGTGTATATTTGGATCTTAGCTACTATAGTTAGTGCATGCCAGTCTCCCACTCAAAAACTATCAATAGCTCTCTTCTGTCTACAGGACTATATGCTAAATTCATGACCTGGCATTTGCTATTTGGCCTCAAAACACTTTCCAGTGCTATTTCCTACTCCAACTCCAAAGTGCTAGTAGTGTTACTCTAAGCTAATTGTTTAATTCTGTGTCTTACCTTTCTCATCTGTAAAATGGGTATAATTTGTCAGCTTTGTTGTGAGGATACAGTGACAATCTATGTGAAAAGTTTATACCAGATACAGAACATATCCTCCATGGAAATTAAATACTATTGTCACACCAATTCAGGAGATAGACAAAGTATAAACATATAAATTAAATGGCAACAATTATTTACACATTAAAATGTAAACCAATTGTTCTTAAATCATAACCTATAGATACTTAGAAATCCCTGGGACTCTTTTAGGGACCCATAAGGTTAAATATTTTTATAATATTAAATTATTTTCATAATAATTTCGTAAAATTGCTCTCATAATATTAAAACGTCGTTGACCTTGTTCACTGTACTAACAATTGCCCTGATGATTCAAAAGACATGGCGTAGAAAATTGCCAGTGCCCAAAATAAAGAAAGGCAGTAGTGGCAGTGACACCAAACTGGACTAGCAGTCATGGTATTCTTTGCCACCACACACATACAGTTAAAAAATAAAATAAAATAAATGAACAAATAAACAAAAAAAGACTAGTTTCAGTAAAGAAACTAAAGCAATAAGAATTACTATTTTTTGTTAAATTTTACCCTTGATTACATGACTTTATAAAAGTGATTTTAAAAAATATTGTGTAATAAAATGTGTCAACATTTGGAAAGTCTGCATAACTCTGTGAACCAATATTGTCTGTATGACAACTGTATGTTATTACAAAATCATGCAGGAATAAAGAGATCCATTCAGAAAAGGCCGATGGATTTTAATAAAACGGAGTATGAAGAGCACACTGAGATCATTTCTGATTCCAACTAACATTTAAAGCACTCCCCCTTGTCCAGTTTTGGTGTAATAACAAAGAAAAATATCCACGATTATCTGAAAAGGGTATAAAATGCTCCCTTTTCCAATTTCATATATGTGCAAAACCAGATTTTTTTTTGTATACTTCAACCAGAATAAACTAAATGCAGAAAGAGATATGAGATTCCACCTGTCTTCTATTAAGCCACATAGTAAAGGATTTCACGAAAAAAGTCAAACAGTGCCACTCTTCTCACATTTTTGTTCTAGAAAATATAGCTATTTTTTACGAAAATGTTACTTATCTTATTATGTATTAGGTTTATTATGACTTTTGCAAATGAATTAATATACATTTTAAAGTTTTCTCAGTTTTAGTTTCTAATAGGGTAAATATTGGTAGCTATAATCCACATGAACGAAAACTCTCTCTGGGGTTCTCAGTGATTTTTAAGAATGTAAAGGAGTCCTGAGACCAAAGAGATTGAAAATTACAGATATAAAAAATAAGGGACTGAGATAGAAGGGAAAAAATGAAGAGAGAGCCACTTGAGAAGGGGTTATCAGAATTCTCTTTGGTCTCAACATTTAAGTTGAAATCTCAAGAAGAAGTTGGAATCCACCATACAAATTGTGACCCAGTAGCAGCAACACCACCCAGGAAGTTTTAGAAATGCAAATTATTGGGCCCCAAATAAGATCTTCTGAGTTAAAAACTGGGGTAGGAGAAGTAATCTGTGTTATAGTAAGTCCTCTAGGTGAATCTGATGTACGTGGAACCATGAGGACAGTCCTAGAGTGGGAAAGAAGAGGAGGAAATGACATAATTAACATTCAAGGCCTTACGTGTTATGATGGCAGTGATTTTCTGGGGACAGAAGGAAAGACTCATTCACCAAGACTAGGAAGTAAAGGCACTTTTCTTCAAAAATGACCTAAGCTGGGTCCAGAAAGGATGAATAAGAGTCATCTTGGGCACTGACAGTGGTGAAGGAATCCATGAGGCACAGCACATCTATGGCGGAAAAGGTACATTCTGCCAAGTGCAAGTTGCCCTGCTTCTAATGTGTAGACCAAGGGTCCACAAACTTTTCGTGTAAGAGGCTGGATAAGAAATTTTTTAGGCTTTGTAGGCTTAGAGGCAAAAATCAAGGCTGTTACGTAATAAGAAAAACTCCTTCCCTATTTACAAAGGGTGGGCCTTCCTGGGAGAGGAAGGATTGGCAGTGGTAGGTGAAAATTCAATAGACATTCTGCTGAAGACATTCTCAAGGCAAAGAGCAACTGGCCCGATGGGGAGGGGCCTGGCCCATAGGATGGTCACTTTTGCTCTGCCCCAGTAATACCCAGATCCCAGCACGCTCTCGCTCCTCTCTAAAAGCCCGACCATCACAAGTTGACAGCTGCCTGGAGGCAAGGTAACTTGACTGGACTGCAATTCCACTGCTCAGTGCCCAGCAGTTGCCAGCAGTAGAGTTCCCGAAGTGTAGGTAGTGACCAGCAGGACCCTTGGCAGCAGCTAGATACAGTGGTGGACTCAGGAAGCGAGTGCTGGGAGCAGACAGGGGAGTGGAGGCAGAGAGAGTCACTGCAGCTGGCTCTCTCAGGCTCACAGTGCCTGCCTAATGAGACCCGCCAACACAGGTGGTGACCAGAAGCCTATGAAAACAGGCAGAAGCCAGATTTGGCCCCGCAGACCATAGTTACCAACATTTAATGTATATACAACATCTGGGATCTTGTTCAAATGCAGATTCTGACTCAGTAGGACTGGGATGGGGCCCAAGGTGCTGCATTTGTAATAAATTCCCACAGTGACTACTAGTTCATAAACCACACTTTGAGTAGCAATATCCTTCTAGCTACAAAACAGGGAAAAGACAGCAGAGAATAAGACCGGAGACCTGAAGGTAGAGGCAGTTGGGCTGTAGAAGCTGTTCTTCACTGAAGGTCTCCATGGGAATCATCGGTGGGTTTAAAAAATAGATGCCTGGAGAGAACTCAGTTAGCATTAATTTGATGGCTAGCTGGAGGGCCAGAGGAGGGAGCAAGCAATTGGAGGAATCGTTTTATAAACTATATAGATGTCTAGCCAATGTGCTGTATGGCTAGTACTAATTCAAATAAATAAATCAATTAAAAAAAAATAGGAGCCTAGGCCTCAGTCTAAAGTGGTTCGGCATCTCTGAGTATGTAAGACAAGGACATGCCCTTTTACATGAAGTGGGTGCTCAGTACATATAGTAAGTAACAGAAGATGGCACAGGACGTATTTTATCTTTTTGGCTTGGCTTTTTTTTTTTTGTAGACAGCTCTCACACTGGAGCATTCAATGATAAAATAAAACGGTAAACAGAAGTACTAGATGTTTCTAATCTGCATGTATGTGTGAAAAGCCAAGCCATTTTTAGACTCAGTTTCTGGAAGCCTTTTTGTTTGCCATTCACACAAAACTTTAAGCAGATTTACACTTAAATCAATTCCATTTGTTCCACATTTGAGTTCATGCCAAGGAAATTTCACAACTTCTCATGAATAAATTGTAATTTAAGTAGATGTTTTTAATAGGTAGTTAAATTTATTTACAGAGAAATTAATGAACTGATGTTCAAAATTCATATAGAAATGCAAGGGATTCAGAATAGCCAAAGCAATCTTGAAAAAAAGAACAAAGTAGGACTCACGCTTCCTGATTCCTAAATTTACTACAAAGCTATGGTAATCAAGACAGTGTGGTACAAAGTACACTGTGTGGCTAGACATATAGAGCAATGGAATAGAACTGAGTCCTGAAATAAACCCTAACATTTATGGCCAATTGATTTTTAACAAAAGTGCTAGGAAAATTCAATGGGGAATAAATAGTCTCTTTAAATGATATTGACACAATTCGATATCCACATGCAAAAGAATGAAATTGGTCCTCTACCTCATGCCACATATAAAACTTAAAATGTATAAATCACGGACCTAAATATAAGTCTTAAAACTAAAACTATTAGATGAAAACATGGAGGTAAATCTTCATCACTTTGGGTTAGGCAAAAGTCCATAGATAGGACAATAAAAGGACAAGCAACAAAAGAAAAATAATTAAATAAACTGAATTTTGCTACAAATAAAAACTTTCCTTCTGTAAATGATACCTTTGAGAAAGGTTTGCAAATCATATGCATGATAAGAGATTTGTATCCAGAACTCTTACAACTTAAAAAAAAAAACTCAATTAAAAATGGTCAAAGAAAATAAACAGAAATTTCTCCAAAACAAATATGCTCATAGCAAATAAGCACATGTAAAAGTGCTCAACATCATTAGTCATTAGGGAAATACTAGCCAAAACTACAAAGAGACATCACTTCACACCCACTAGAATAATTATTATCAAAAAGACAAATAATAACAAGTGTTGGTGAGGATGTAGAGACATTAGAAACTGCATACACTGTGGTAAGTGTATAGAATGGTGCAGCCATTTTGGAAAGCAGTTTGGTAGTTCTCCAAAAGGTTAAATATAGAGTTATTATATGACCAGTAACTCTAATCTTAGGTATATACCTAAAAGAAAAGAAAACAAGTCTATATAAAAGCTTGTACATAAATGTTTATAGTAGCATTATTCCTGATAGCCCCAAAGCAGGAACAACTCAAATGTCCATTAATAGATGAATGCATACATAAAAGGCAGAAAATTCATACAATGGAATATCATTTGGCAATTAAAAAGGAATGAGATACCAAGACATGCCAAAACGTGGATGAACCTTGCAAATACGCTAAGTGGAAGAAGCCAGTCACAAAAGACTGCATATTATGTGATTCCATTTATGTGAAATGTACAGAAGAGGCAAATCTATGGAGATAGAATGTAGATTATTTGTTGCTTAGGACTGGAATGAGATCAGGCTGGGAAGTGACTGCAAAGAAGTAGAGGGTTTCTTGGGGTGATGAAATGTTCTAAAATTAGATAGTGGAGGGTGATGCTTTCACGATTTTGAATATATTAAAAACCACTGAATTGTGTAAAGATGAATTTTATAGTATGTAAACTATATCTCAATAAAGCTGTTTAAAAAATAAATGATACTATTAATTGGATACTTCCCGTAAAAAAATAAAAAATTTATTTGTAGAAAACATAAGCAATTCACTAGCTTACCACTGACTACTAAAATTTAGCAAATTTTCCTTCACATGAATCCCTGTATGTTTGATTAAGTGCACTTGAATTTCTATCTTTCTGGTACAGGTGTCTCAATGTAAAAATGTAGCCAGTAATTACAAGCTCTAATAAATATGAATGATCCATAAAAACTGCAATAAATATCTGAAGACAAGAGTAAGATAAAAATACTTACTGTCTTGTTTGAAATTGAGGTGCTCGGTCCTGGCAGGGAGTCTTAGCTGCCAGAGTTCTGTTGTGTTCACACCATGGAAACTGACCCTTTCTTCCTCATTAAAGCCCTTCAATCAACTGTACTGGGTAGTGACCATCTGGTCGCCAGGGGACTGCCCCTCTGCTTTGCACTGAAACTGGTCAGCAATTTCTGTTTGCTTCTGTAGTTTAAGTTGGTCCTTAACAGGTTTTTTTCAAATAACATTTTGATCAAAGAACATGAAAATTGAAAAAACTGACTGCCAATCTCTATGACACTGTGGTGGTAAATTGTTTGTTAACCACTGTGGAGCAGTGGGGACAGAGTATGCCCCTCACGTTCAGAACCAGCTGTGAGATCTTGGGCAAGGCCCTTAACGTTGCCAAGCCTCTTGGTTTTTGTTGTTTTTTTTTCCTCACCAGTTAAATAAAGTTTGAACACCTTTTTGATAGGGCTGTGAAAGATTAGTAGCTGAAATAATTTATAAAGCATCTGGCACAGAGTAGAGGAAGGGAGAGAGAGAGGAAGGGAGGAAGCGCTCCCTTTGCCTTGTCTTTTGTTCCCTTACTCTAAGCATTTCCTATCTTTATGATGATACTGTTTTAAAAGACTTACTTCCTCTCCCTCCACCCCCCCACTGCCCACCCCTCCTCCTCCTCTTCCTTCTTTTTCTTCTCTCTCTCTCTCCCTACTCTCCTGGTTTAAAAGACTTACTTCCTCTCCCTCCACCCCCCCCACTGCCCACCCCTCCTCCTCCTCCTCCTTCTTTTTCTTCTCTCTCTCTCTCCCTACTCTCTTTCTTTTTTTCTCCCTCCATTTCTCTCATACCTCTTTTCCCACATGTATTTATTGAATGCCTTCTACCTGCCAGATACCGTACTGGGCCTTGTGAAAAATAAGGCACTCACCGTTTCTCTCTTCTTTGAGCTTAGAGTCCAGAGAAAAAGACAGACAGTAAGAAAGAAAACAAATAAATGCATATATATTAAATGCTCTAAGAGAAGCACTAAACACTTGAAGACTTAACATGTAAGAATCTTTAAAGCATGCTGGAAATCTTCCATTTGTCCCATTAGATCCACTCTTCACTATTCACTACCAGAGGAGGCTTACCTGTAGGGACCATATCCATGGGCTTCGATGCCTTCTGACTTCTTGCTGGGCCTGGCCAATTTCCAGCACAAGGTTGGAAGGTGGAAGGAAAATGGGGCTGGAATATTTAGTCATTGGCTTTCTGTCTGATTGTCAGGGGTTTGCTGCAGAAGTCACAGCTCCTGTCAGGTAGAGTTATTCTCACTGGGCCCCAGTCATTGCTATCTCCTCTTGCTTTTTCAGGCCCATGGGTGTTAAGGGCTCTCTGGTGTTGTTTGCCCAGAGTCCCTGTACTATGCCTTTTGGTATTCCTCAAATTCTACTCTCGCCTTGGTAAAAGTCATCAAATAATCCAGATTGAGAATGCAACTTGCTTCCTGCTGGGATCTGGACCAATGAAGTAGGAATTCTACCTGCAGAGTGGGTAATACCTCAATGTGGAATTCAGAATGGATGAGTGTAAAGTAAGGTGAATGTGGGAAATCCATATGAAAAGGAGGTTGAATCCAGATCCTGGAAGGCCACAAATGCCATGGCAGGATATCTGGACTCTATTTCTCCCTTTGTACAATGAGAAATGTTGACAGTTTGTGAATGGGGAAGTAAAATGGTTACAAGTCCATCATTTTTAGAGAAGTAGTTTTGCCACAAGAAGGTGTAATGTATTCTGGGGTGAGGGGCAGTCTGGAGGAGGAAGAAAGAGTTAGAAGGCAATAAAAATGCATATACTTCGACAGGAAACCCACTTTTAGGGAATAATTTAAGACATGCACAAAGATTTAACTGCAAAGATATTCACTGAAGTGCTATTTAAAAACTAAAAATTATAAACCACCCAAATTTTTAATAAATAACCCAAATTTCCACCAGTAAGGGAAAATATTTTATAGCCTTTTGAACTGATACTACAGATGTGTATTGATTAGCTTGGTAAAATGTTAGGATTATATTGCTAAATTAAAGTAGAATCTTATAAAACTGACCAAAAATTCAGTATTTATGCATGTACTTGTTTTTGTGAAGAAAAGTTTAAAATGATATACACTGAATTTGTATTAGCTAAGTAGCATTTTTCCTATAATGAGCATCATAACTTGTGTAATAAAAGAAACATTTTGTACTTGTCAAAGTAGAGCTTTGGGGGACTTTGACTAACAAGACAATAGTAGGAATGGGCAGGAAGGAACTGATGACATTGTGTATGTAGAATCAAACAACTCCGTGAGCAGGCAAAGGAGCTAGGTGACTGTGAGCCATAGTGCTGTTGAGAGAAACCTGCCGAGTCTTGTATCAAGATAAAATTCCTGTATCCTGATGATGTTGGTAGAAGTATTATCAAGGACTTGAACAAGAGAAAACATCTTGGAGACCGGTTTTGCAGACCAGATCTTGGAGCCCAGTTACTGAATGCATACAAACACGTCGATTGTGACGTCCACCTTTCCAGTCTCTAAGAATCACGTCTACAAAAGGCATTAAGACACCGCCAAAGAGGAATG